CAGGTAGATGGGACCAGGGCCATGGTGGCAGCCAGGGGCTCCGAAGGGAGCTGGGCAGGGCACAGCCGAAGGTGCTGCAGGGAAAGGAGGTATTTCCCTGCTGCGCTGCCAGGGTGTCCTGCATCCCCTGTGGCTGAGGGCTGCCTGTGCTGATGCTGCCCCACTCCCTAGGCCTGATTGATGTCCATGTCCACCTCCGCGAGCCGGGCAGCACCCACAAGGAGGACTTTGCATCAGGCACAGCAGCTGCCCTGGCTGGGGGTGTCACCATGGTGTGTGCCATGCCCAACACCAGCCCCGCTGTCACTGACGCCACCTCATTCACCCTCGTGCAGAAGGTGAGGGGCTGCCCACGTGCCCTATCTGGGTGCTGTAGTGCCAGATGTGGTGCACTTGCTGCCTGCCGTGGGGCTGACCTTGGCTGGCACTCACCACCTCTCAACCCTGCAGCTGGCTGAAGCTGGGGCCCGCTGTGACTTCGCCCTCTTCCTGGGGGCTTCCTTGGACAACACCAGCTTGCTGGGACCACTGGCCAGTGCAGCCGCTGGGCTCAAGATGTACCTCAACGACACCTTCTCCAACCTGCGGATGGACGATGTGTCACTGTGGATGGAGGTGAGCCATCAGAGGCAGCGGCTGCCATGGGGCTGGACCCAGTTCCTGGTGCTGGTGCCCACCAACTCTGTGTCCCCCTAGCATTTCGAGCAGTGGCCGCGGCACCTGCCCATCGTGGCACACGCGGAGCGGCAGACAGTGGCTGCTGTCCTGATGGTGGCCCAGCTGTACCAGCGCCCTGTGCACATCTGCCACGTGGCCCGCAGGGAGGAGGTGAGCGGAGGGGTGCAGTGGGGGGATTGTGAGCCCCGGTGACAGGGTGCAGGGCTGTTTGGGGCCCCCCCCTCACTGCTTCCCCCGCAGATCCTCCTCATCAAGGCAGCCAAGCAGAAGGGGATCCCGGTGACATGTGAGGTGGCCCCACACCATCTCTTCCTGTGCCGGGATGACCTGGGGCGCCTCGGGGAGGGCCGAGCAGCCGTGCGGCCAGCGCTGGGCACCCGCCAGGACATGGAGACGCTCTGGGAGAACATGGACACCATCGACTGCTTCGCAACAGACCACGGTGAGCCCTGGCGGGTGGCAGCCACGGCGCGGGGGCATGGGGTGAGGGCAGCAGCAGGTCCTGCCATGACCAGCCCTGCCCCACAGCCCCCCACACGCTGGATGAGAAGCAGGGCCCTGAGCCACCCCCTGGCTTCCCCGGCCTGGAGACAATGCTGCCACTGCTGCTGACGGCCGTCTCCGAGGGGCGGCTCACCGTGGAGGACATCATTCAGCGCCTCTATGAGAACCCCCGCAAGATCTTCAGGCTGCCAGCACAGGAGGACACCTATGTGGAGGTGGGTCCCTGCCTCCCCACACCAGATCCAGCCCCAGCCCTGGCCCTGACCTGCTGTCTTTTCAGGTGGACTTGGAGCACGAGTGGATCATCCCCAGCTCCATGGCCTTCTCCAAGGCCCGCTGGACACCCTTTGAGGGCATGAAGGTGAAGGGGACAGTGCGTAGGGTGGTTCTGCGTGGAGAGGTTGCTTACATTGATGGGCAGGTAAGACTTCATGTTCCCTTCTGCCTGTATCAAGGTGGTCCCCCAGCCCTGGGGTTCCTAAGTACTGACCCCATCACCCCCATGGCTGCAGGTGCTGGTGCCCCCAGGCTATGGGCAGGATGTGAAGAAATGGCCCTCGGGCACTGTGTTGCCACCGCATGCAGCCCCCACCAAGGAGAGCGCAAAGGTACTGGGGTGTGTGGGGCAGGTGAGGGGCTCCATGCCCTGCCCCTGCTCCAGCTCAGTTTCTCACTGCAGACCCCCGAGCGGCCCCGTCACGTGGTGGCTGGGGAGATGTTGCGTGGCCGAGCCTCTAGCCCGCGCCGGGCTGGCCCCACAGGTGATGGGCGCTTCCACCTCCCGCCCCGCATCCACCGGGCCTCTGACCCAGGGCTGCCAGGTACGGAGGGGGCTGTCACTGACCCGGCACAGTGGGGCGCAGTGGGTGGGCATCGGGGCAGCAAGCGTGTGCCACCCCAGGGCGGGGTCTGGGGCCATAGCTGGACGGCCCTGCTGATGCAGCCCTTGTGTCCTGTTCAGTGTTCCGGAGGCTGGGAGCTGTGCACCGCCCGGGCGCCCGAGGCACCGGTAATATCGGAGGGGGGACTCACTCTGACAATGAAACGTGGCTGTACTAACGGCACTAACCGCAGCTGATGAGTGCATCCCCTCCCCCAGGTGCCGTGTTGGCGCCGGGCTGCCCGCGCACACACACAGTGCCCACAGTGTAATGGGACAGCGCACTGGGGGGCAGGACATGGCCGCGCCTGCCTGCTCCCCTCTCTCAGCCCGCACGGCACCTCGGGGACCCCTCGCCTGCCAGTGTGATTTGGGTTGCGTCCGATCATGTTTTGCGGGGCTCAGGGGGAGTGGGGCGCAGTGCCGTGCTGGGTCTTGGCCTGTCCTGGCTCTGGGTGGCTGTGGCCCTGGGCATTGGGTCCCATGGTGCTGTCACCCGGCTGTGCCGTCCTGGCAGCCCCATGGGAGAGCAGTAGCCAGGGTGCCACAGCTGCCCACACCCTCTAATGCCACCGCTCCCTCTCCCACCCAGGCGAGGACACCCGTGAGAAGGCCGGCAGGAAGGTGGCGGAGGCAGGTGAGTGCTCCATGGATCCACGGTGGCTGCGTGTGCTGGGGCTCTGTGTGCCTCCCCCAGTGGGCTGAACCTGCTCCTCTCGGTGCTACAGACCTGGCTGTGATGCAGGACAGCTACTTCTACCCACCGGGCTCCATCCCGCGCCAGGCATCCCCCCAGGGCATGCCCCACTTCCAGACATCCCCACTGCTGAACCCCCTTGTCGGGCAGCACGTCCTCTCCGTCCAGCAGTTCTCCAAGGAGCAGGTGCCTGGGCTTGGTGGCAGGAGCGGGGCCATGGGTGCCCAGCTGAGCATGGGTCAGGGGCACTGGTGCTGCCCATGGCCTGGCTGAGCCTTTTCTCCCTGCAGATGTCACATCTCTTCAACGTGGCGCACACCCTGCGCATGCTGGTGCAGAAGGAGCGGAGCCTGGACATCCTCAAGGTGAGCCAGGTGGTGGGGAGGTTGCCCACACCCCTGGGTACCGCAGGCGATGCTGTGAGAGCCCTGTGACGATGGTGTGGCCCCCACAGGGCAAGGTGATGGCATCCATGTTCTACGAGGCGAGCACAAGGACCAGCAGCTCCTTCGCCGCTGCCATGAGCCGGCTGGGCGGCTCTGTCCTGTCCTTCTCGGAGGCCACTTCCTCGGTGCAGAAGGGGGAGTCGCTGGCTGACTCCGTGCAGACCATGTGCTGCTATGCCGACGTGCTGGTGCTGCGGCACCCCCAGCCGGGCGCTGTTGAGGTGAATGGGGTTGGTGGGGCTGGCTGCTGCCTGCAGTGAGGGCAGCCACATCCGACCCTGAAGGCACTTGGAGGACCTTCCCTCATGGTGGGGACCTGTGCTATGGGGCAGGGCTGTGTTTTCCCGGTGGGTAAGGTGTCAGGAACAAGTGCCAGGTTCTGCCCTGTGTGGGGCTGGTGAGGGCTATGTTGTGCCTGTGCTCAGTTCTCCTGTGCTCCCAGCTGGCCGCCAAGCACTGCCGCAAGCCTGTGATCAACGCCGGGGATGGGGTGGGGGAGCACCCCACACAGGCACTGCTGGACATCTTCACCATCCGTGAGGAGCTGGGCACTGTCAATGGCATGACGGTACGGCACTGGGAGCCATGGCACCCCCCCCCCCAGAGTGCTGTGGGGCTAAATGTCATTTTCTGGGGCTGTTGGGGAGCACAGGTCAGGCTGACCGCTCTCCACAGATCACCATGGTGGGTGACCTGAAGCATGGGCGCACGGTGCACTCCCTGGCCCGCCTGCTCACCCAGTACCGTGTCAACCTGCGCTACGTGACCCCCCCTGGGCTCCGCATGCCTGATGACATCACCAGCTTTGTGGCCTCCAAGGGCATCAAGCAGGTGAGCAGGTGGGGTGGGGAGGTTTGGGCCACATGGCCCCTATGGACCTGCTGACAGTGCCTCTCCAGGAGGAGTTTGGGAGCATCGAGGAGGCGCTGCCGGACACGGATGTGCTCTACATGACCCGCATCCAGAAGGAGCGCTTCCGTGTGGCTGAGGAGTATGAAGCTGTGAGTGAGAGGGAGGTGGGGGGGGACTCTGGTGGGAGGTGGCAGCCCATGGGGTGGCGGCTCCGTGGCCTGGGCTCCGAGCTGCCCCATGCCCTCCCCACACAGTGTTTTGGGCAGTTCATCCTCACACCCCACATCATGACCCGGGCCAAAGAGAAGATGGTGGTGATGCACCCCCTGCCGCGCGTCAATGAGATCAGGTATGAGCAGGGCAGCAGGGGCACAGGGATGGGGTGTTCTGGGCAATGGTGGATGGTCCTGCAGCAATATGGGCTGTAGTGTGGGGGGCAGGGGAAGGTTGGGGGAGCTGCAGCAGGGGTTTGCTGGGTTGTGGGTGTCAGGGTGATGGGGAATGGGGTGTGCTGGGCAGGAGGAGGGGGTCCTGGGATGATGTGGGCTGCGGTGGTGGGGTTGGGAGGTGGGATTGCGAGTTTGGGGGAGCTGGGGCTGCAGTGTTGGGAGGTTGTGGGGTGATGGGGAATGGGGTGTGCTGGAGGCAGCGTGTCTGGGGGATCTCAGGGTGTGGGGGTCTGTGCTCTGTGTGTGCTCTGTGCTCTGTGTCTGTGCTCTGTGTGTGCTCTTATGTGCTCTGTGTGTGCTCTATGTGCTCTGTGTGTGTGCTGTGTGCTCTGTGTGTGCTGTCTCGGTGCTGACACCGGTCTCGCAGCGTGGAGGTGGACTCGGACCCGCGGGCCGCGTACTTCCGGCAGGCGGAGAACGGGATGTACATGCGGATGGCGCTGCTGGCCACGGTGCTGGGCCGCTACTGACACAATAAACGCGTCATCCAACCGCGACCTCTCCTCATCTCGTCGCGCCGCGGGCCATGGCGGCGCTGTGGAGGGGTTGCGGCCGGCTGCTGACGCGGTGGCCGGGGGCAGCGCAGGCGCTCACCGCCGGTAAGGGCCGGCCCTGCGAGCCGGAGCCCCTCCGCACCCTCTGCGGTGCGCAGCCCCCCGACACTGTCGCCCTGCTGGTGTGGGCACTGTACCCTCGGTGGGAGGAACACCGGGGGCGTCGGGGTGGTCCCAGTGCCTTACGGGTCCGTGTTCGGGGGGAGGAGATGCTGCCGTTTGCCCAGGCTCAGCGGGGAGCAGAGGCCCGCCATGGGTTCCACCGGTCCTCTTCAGGCTCAGGAGCTCAGCTGCAGGGATCTCTGCGCTGGAGGCAGGAGGGCTGGTGCAGGGCTGTGAGGAGGCACAGCCCTAGAGTAATGTCCCACAACTCGAGAACTTGCCCCAGAACGGAGGGTAGAGGTTGTATTGGCAGCCCTGATGCCCCCTGAGTGGGAATGGAAGCTGGGATGTTGCTCCTGAGGGGATGCAGTGGGCTGCAGCCTTTGCCTAAGGGCTCAGGCAGCACAGCATGTGGCCAAGCCTCCCCCGGGTGGGCTGTGTCTGGCTGGCTTGAGTCAGGTACAGAGCTGCTGCCTGGAGAGAGCTGAGCCCCTGACAGGCTCCTGGGCCTCTACACGGGTGATTCAATCTCCCTAATGGTGGTGCTGCTTGCGGGGCTTGGAGGTGCCATAAATCTGCCCCGGCACTGTTGCACTGTTCCATGTGCCCTAGGGACAATCTCCAGCGCAGGCAGCTGCTGCAGGCAGGGGTGGTCCTGCCCATAGCATCACAGGGCTCTCATCCCTGAGCAACAGCCACCTCAGCCTCTCCACTGCACACCCATCCATGCAGGGGGCTGCAGTGTGGGGTGATCAGGAGGAGGGTCCCTGCGTGCTCCCTTCTGCACCCTCTGCTTGCAGCTTTCCCTGCTGACACTGCTCCCCACCAGCCTAGGGCATGGGGGAAGCACAGACTGTGGGGTCTGGGGGTGCCCTGCTTGCCGGGGTGGGGGTGCTGGGGTGCTTCCCTCACCATGCAGCCATTGTCTCTCCTCCCGGCTGCCCATGGGGATGATCGCATGTTGCCCTGCCTGCCAGGCTGCCTGGGGTCCTGCCAGGCCACCTCACTGTTCTGCGGTTATTTTTATCTGATTTGATGGCGTCTGTGGCCTGGCACCCCCTGCACTGTGCGTGGCCAGGCTGCGCATCCCTCTCGGTTCCTGGGGGGAGGCCAAGGTCGGAAGCCTCTGCCTGCTGCTGCAGCAGGCTTAGTGCAGCCCTAGGCTGGCTTGAGGCTCCAGCTCTGCCTGTTGCTGTTTGGGGTTGGAGCAGCCCTGCCGAGGGGCAGACCTCCAGTTCCTCAGGCCCCTGGCATCCCTCAGGAGCATGGGGATGTGCCCAGCCCTGGATTTAGCTCCTGTAACTGAACAGCAGCTCTGCTTTTGGGTCTGCATCTTGGGCCTCGATACCCACTGCAGAGGCTGTGATGGTGTTCCTCTGGGGTCAGGGCAGCCCTGCCCCTGGCTGAGCTTTCCTGCTCTCCTTGTAGCTCCAGCAAGTAATTACCCCATCTGAGGCCAGACTCCATGTAGCAGAGACAGGTTGCCCTGGGCCCCACGCTGGGCAGATCCCAGCCTCCTCCAGCCCTGTCCTCATTCACTGCTCATGGAGCCCCCAGTGCTGCTGTGCTGCCAGCTGGGGCCAGGCCAAGGAGGTTTGCTGGCCATTGAATGCGCCTGGTGTGTTCGGCCGCGCTCACCTGCCCGATTGCTGCCCTCCCTGCTGGTGAGAGCTGCTGGGTCAAGCAGGGTTTTGCCTCTTGCATCCCAGGCGCCAGGCCAGGAAGGCAGCAGGGCCTGGGCACAGCAGGCAGCAGCACGTGCCCGCAGCAGTGACCTTGCTGTCCCTGCCTGCTGTGAGCAGCCCTGTGCTCCTGTGGTGTGGTGGTGCAGGCTCCAGCAACCAGCCGGCGAGGCCTGCAGGGAACACAGACAGTGTGGCCTACTTAGGCTTGGGCCCGTTTCAAAGCCCTCTGCCCGTGGGAACAGCAACCTGTGGGATTGGCCTGGCAGGGGCTGTTTGCTGCCTCCTGCCTGCCCCTGGCACTGCTGTGCACTGAGCAGGTGAGGAATTGCCTCCGTGCAGCTTGGGCAGAACAAGCTGGGGAGCCCTTGCCCTTCTGCGTCCAGCGCTGCTGTGCATGGTGGCTCTTCCCAGCCTGGGGTGGGACACAGTGGTGGCAGCAGGGGTTGGTTCTGGTGGTCATGGTATGGGATGCACTGAGGGCTTCAGTCCCACACCAGAGCTGCAGCCGGTGCCAGTGGCACTGTCAGTCCCATCCCGGGTGAGCAGTGTCATTGCGAGCGCCTTGCTCTGGCTGCACTCATGGGCCCAGGCAGGGATGCAGACAGGCCTGTCCCTGTCCCCCCACCCCCAGCAACCCTGGTGCTGCTTCGTCACCACCAGGCACTGCGCCCGGAGCCTTCAGGACTGAATGAGTAACGCTGGTGCTGCCGCGGTGCTTCCTCAATGAGAGCTGAGCAGGGGGAGCCTGACTGTGCCTAGTGGGCAAGCTGCCCACAGAAAGCAGCCAGCAGGCAGTCACAGACCTTCTGTCATGCTGGCTGGGGGGCCCTTGCATGCTTCCCCCCCGGCCCCTTCACTGCCGAGGCCCATGGTTTGGCAGGGGCTGTTCTGCCATCACAGAGCAGTGCAGCAGCTCTGAGGGTCCAGCAGCAGAGCTGGAGCCCCTGGGGACTGCATTGGTCCAGGGGTGGGAGATGGAGCTGGTGATGCAATGGCAGGAGATGCTGCCAGGAGCGCAGCAGCTCTGTGGGGCTGCAGAGACCGGGCCAGCGCTGCTGGGGCATGGCTCCTGGATGGCCTTGGCTGAGGTCCTGATTCCCACCCAGCCTCCTGGGCTGCCTCCAGACTCTACTGGCCATTGCAGCCATGCTGGGCCAGGTCTAGCTCCTGCCTGATGGCTCCCAGGAGCCATGCTGCATCCCTGGTCCATGTGCCTGGGGCAAGAGGCCCGAGCCTCTCCCCTCCTGCTTGCTGGCTTTGGATGCTGCCCGCAGGAAGCTCAGAGTCTGTTCCCTTTGCCTGGGATCTGCTCCCCATGGCACTGCTGGGGACTGTCACAGAGAGATCAATGGCTCTGGGAGGGAGGGCTGGGTGTTACTGGTGATGCACCCAGGGCCCTGCCACCCCTTGCCCATGGAGACCCTCTGTGCAGGGCTGGCTTTAGGCTGGCAGCACAGCTGGGGCTGGCAGGAAGAGGGGAGATGCTGGGGCTGCTGCTACCCAAGATGAAGTCTTGCTAGGTTCAGGGTTTCCAAGAATGGAGCAAAGTCACAGCAGGGCTGGAGGCATGCCTGGGAACCGTCTGGGAGGAGCAGGGGAATAAGCAGGGAGCCCACAAAGGCCAGGGGAAGGAGCACAGGGCCAGCTGAGTTGCGTCGAAGAGGTCAAGAGTGTCAGATGGAGCAGGAGCTGCCAAAGGACCAGCTGAGCAGCAGCCCGCAGGGGTCGCGCACAGCAGAAGGTCCCTCACACTGATATGGAAAACAAGGCAAGGAGCTGTGCCAGCAGCACCAGCAGCAGCCTGGTGGGCTCTGCCCCAAAAGCCGCAGGCACAGCTGGGCCTAGATCATGGGGTGCTGCAGGAAGGCAGGGGCAGGACCCGCAGGCAGCAGGGCGCTGTGAGGTCTTGCTCTGAGCAGGCTGTGCTGGTTGCAGGGGCCCTCATGGGAGCTGGCGATGTGATTGCACAGCAGGTGGTGGAGAAGAGAGGGCTGCAGGGGCACCACGGCCCCCGGACCCTGAAGATGATGGTGATCGGCTTCTGCTTTGTGGTGAGTGCCGGCATGCAGTTCAGTAACGCATGCATGGTGGAGTGGGATGGAGGGCTGTTTTGGTAGGTGAGACAACAGTGCTTTGGTGTGAATTGGGCCTCCAGCAGCCATGGGCAGAGCTGGGTCCCCTCGAGGAGGAGCACCTATCACTGCACCCTGCTGCAGGATGGGGTCTCCGTGCAGTCTGGGCACCCGTGTCCGTTCCCACTGCTGGTGCCAGCCCCTCGGAGGTTTCACTGGGCAGGAGGGTGACACCAGAGTCAGGGTGCAAACATGCTTTGCTCTGCTGTGTATGATGAGCCTGGATCCTGAGCCATCAGCTCCTGTGCTCGGGGGGCAGATCTGTACCCTGTGCCCTGTGCTGGTGGCTTGGGCAGGGAGGTCCCTGGGTAGCACTGGCACAGCCAGGTCCCCACCACGGAGCCCTGCCTGGTGTCTCAGGCATGAAGCACACTCTATTGGAGCAGGCCGTGGTGCTGGTGCTGCCTGGCAGAGTGCTTTAGGAGAGGAGGGAGGCTGTGGGCACCACTGCATCTATGTGATGCAGGGGCTGCCCCATGGCAGTGTGGAGCAGGGCAGGGCCTGTCCCTGTGTTTCAGGCCTGGGGCAGAGCCACGTAGCCAGCTCTGGAGATCTCCCAGCCCCAGTGCCCTGTGGCCTGGCAGAGCAGGACACTGCTCCTCACACCCGGGTGCTGCAGGGTCCTGTTGTGGGTGGCTGGTACAAGATCCTGGATCAGCTCATCCCAGGGACAACGAAAGTCGTGGCTGTGAAGAAGATGGTCCTGGACCAGGTAAGTGCCATGGGGGTTAATATGCCTGTGTGCGGCTGGTGCAGCCACATACTGCGGACAGCCATGTGTTGTGTCCTGCTCTTTGAGCCCCAGTTTCTGAGGCCAGGAGTAGCCCCAGTGCAGTGGCAGGTTGGGGTGGGAAGGGTTGCAGAGTAGATGCCCTTCGCCTGGACTTAGACCCTCCCAGAGGCCCCTTGGTGGATCCAGTACCTCTGTATAGCTCTGTGCTGGGTTGCAGCAGGCTGAGTAGCCCCAGGGCATGAGGCAGGCTGGATGTGTGCCTCCCACCCCTGCTGCAGGCCCAGCTCCAAGCACCACAGGCACCTCAGCATCGTGCCCTGACTCCTCTCTTGCAGGGGGGCTTTGCACCGTGTTTCCTTGGCTGCTTCCTTGCCATCACAGGAGCAATGAATGGTCTGTCAGTGGAGGAGAACTGGTCCAAGATCCAGCAGGTATGTGCTGCTCCCCTGGGGTGGTGTGGGGCTGCCTCCTGGTGCACTGGCACTGCCGGCTGCTCCCATCTGTGGTTATGCCCATGCCCAGCCATGCTAGCACTGACTGTATATCCCCAGCTCTGCTATCACACTCCTGTCCTTGTAGCCTGGTCTACATAGAATCATAGAATGGTTAGAGCTGGAAGGGACCTTAAATAGCATTGAGTTCCAACCAGCTATTGTGCCTTGGGACCTCAACCACAGAGCTCTTTGCACTAGGCGGCCACCCCACTGCTGTGGGGCACAGAGCAGCTCTCTGCCTGGCCAGGGCCTGGGGGTGCACATGGCTGGTCCTGCTGGGCTCAGTTCTGGGTCCCAGTGATGGGTGCCTCGTGCAGCTGCTCCACTGGGTGCTGCTGTCAGAGCGGTTCCCTGTGGCATGGCTTTTGGGTCCCACCTGGGCCAGGGTGGTTGGGTGCCTGGTGCCACCCAGCTCCCAGCTCACCGTCAGGCCCCTCTCCTGGCATCTCCAGAGCCATTATGGAGATGGTTCCCATTAGCGGTAATTGCTGGAAATCAGTGCACAAGCTGAGTCAGCATGTCCAGAGCGTGAGTCACTGAGAAGCTGGTGACCACCAGCCATGGGATGAGGCACCCAAAGTGTTCCCACCCACCCCAACTGCACCTCAGCCAAGTGGTGCCATGTATCTTATCTTGGTCCCCCTCAGGGAAACCCACTGGTGCCTTGGTATAGTGGTGTGTGATTCCCTGATCCATGGCTCCTGACCAGGCCCCTGCCCTGGGAAGGGGCTGGGCTGGGGCCGGGCAGTGGTGGCTGGCAGCCACCTTCACCCCTGGCTTGGGGTACATCCGTCTCTCCCCACGCAGAGGAAGCGTCAGCAGAGCATCCATCACCCCTGTGCCTTCTCTCCCAGTCCTGGGCTGCTGGCCAGTGCCGGGAGGAGGCCGGGCTGCTGGCTGAGTCACAGCCAGCCTTGATGAGGGATTCATCCTGCTGCCCTGGGGTAAAGCTGCAGCACGAGGACAGGGCAGTGCCCCGGTTCCATCCCTGCCTCATGGTGCCTGGGATGGGGATTGGGGGACACAGGGATGGGGAGAGACCCGAGTCTGCTGCAGGTGCCCAGCTCGCCACCTGCCCTCTCAGCACCTTACCCTGCCCCAGGCCTGCCCCTGCTCCCTTCCCAGGCTTGCCCAGGCAGGGCAGCATGTGGAGGCCTGGCTGTGGCACTAAAAGCCATGATGGCAGCAGGAAGAGACAGAGCAGCCGTGGCCACCCCACATGTGCAGGGGCTGCAGTGCCCTGTGCCCAGCTGGAGCAGGCATGGAGCTGAGGGAATGTGACAGGGGACATTGGCCATCCTGCACTGTTCTTGCCAGTGCTGGGGCCTCCTGGAGCTGTGCCAGTGGCCACTGCTGCTGGGGCTGCGGGCAGCTATGTAGTGGGGCTGTGCAGCAGCAGAGCTGTTCTGAGCACTCACAGTCTCCCTTCTCTCCTAGGACTACACAGACGCCCTGCTGACCAACTACTGTGTAAGTGCTGTGCCCCCAGCTGGGCTCCTTCATGGTCCTGTCCTTGCCCCCTGCCTTGGATGCTGCTGTGGGCTTGGTTGGACACCCCAAATGCCTGGGCAGAGTTGGTCACGGGGCAGGGGCACTGGCAGGGCCCCTTCACCGCTGCCTCCTTCTCTGCACAGATCTGGCCACCGGTACAAATAGCAAACTTCTACTTCGTGCCCCTGAAGCACAGGTAGTAACGCAGCCATGGCCCTGGTTCCTGGGCTCCTGGAGCCTGTGGCTGTGGACCCTGTCCCCTCTGTCCCTAGGCTCGCCGTTGTCCAGTGCGTTGCTATCGTCTGGAACTGCTACCTGTCCTGGAAAGCAAATCGGATGTGAGGTGGAAACCATGTCACCTCCCAGCCTGCATGCTGCACCCCCAGAGCCCTTGGAGCAGGCCCGTATCTGGGGCTGGGGTACACAGGATGCTGGCAGCAGCCGTCCACCTCTCTCCTTTGGAAACCCCAACACTCGCAGCTGCAGCCCTTGCGCTCCAGGGACACCTCAAGATGGGTCAGTGCCTGCTCTGGATCCAGCAGCTCTGCCCTTCAGCATGCTTCACCGCCTGTGCTCACTTCTCTCCCCAGCCCCTTACCCCACACAGTGGCTGATCCTCCCATGGGCATTGCTCTGTCCTTCCCCAGAGAAGCGGGAGCAGCACTGGGTGCGTGCTGGTGCAGATGCTGTGCTGTGCACTGCCCCGCTTGGAGCTGCCAATGGTGTTGCCAAGGGGCTGCCCCATCCCAGGCTGCTTGTGCTGTGCCTGCAGCCCTGCAGCACCCGCTGCCACAGGCTGGGCGTACTCCTCCTGAGGGCAGGGTTTGCTGTGGCTCAGACAGTGGGAGCACCAAATACACACTGGTTTTCACTTGTGGTTCTTGTGACACTCGGCATGTGGCCATCCCGTCTCACACCAGGGGCTGCACAGAAGCCATTCCAGTGCCTGGGGAGCTGCTGCAGCCGTGCTGTCCCCTTGGTGGGGTAGGCAGCCAAGCAGAGTCTTGGGGCAAATGATTGACTGCTCCAAGTTCTGTTTCATCCCTAAGGAGCCAAGTGTGGGGCTGGCACTGTGCTGAGCAGAGCAGGTTGATGAAGGGGGGCTACCCTGCCTGTCTCAGTGAGAAGGGGGTCTATAGAGGTTGGATGGTGGCTTAGGGGGTCCCCAGGTCCTGCTGTAGCTGTCTGTGGGGTGTGATGATGGCTCCACTGCTGGGCAGTGGGACAGGGTGAGCCGCACCCAGGGGCACAAGTTCTGGGTGCAGAATCCTCCGGGGGCTCCTGGCATGCTCCATGCAAGGCTGTGGATAGCAGGGAGGATACAGGAAGGGTCTGTTCGAGGGCTGGAGGTAGGGCTGTGACCAGGCCACATCTACCTATGCCTTGTCCAAGACCAGCCTACCTGTCCTGCCTGCAAGGAGTCCCATGCCACCACTGCCTGCCTGCGTTGCTGCCTGTGGAGATGTGCATCTGGATTCATCCCACATACACAGCGAGCAGTCATGACCTGGTTCACACAGTGCCCTGCCTGGCATGTCCTGACCAGGGCCTCTAGAGCAGAGCTGGTGGAACCACAATGGTTAAGCCTCACTCAGGGGCCTGAGCCCTGACCCTCTTGGCCACCCTGCCACAACCCCAAGCAGAGAGGAGCTGAAACCTGCACAGGACCTGGTGCACACTGCCAGAGATGGAGCTGCAGAGCCTGCCCAGCCCTCAGCACCCCAAGGATGCATCAGAACTTGGCTGCAGGGCTTGGCCCAGCTTTTCCCCAGCCTATGGGGTGGGTGCTCCTGGTCAGCGGTTGCACATGGCAGGAGTCTGCAGCCCCGATGTGCTGAGCCTCTCACAGCCCTGGTGTGTTGGCAGTGAGTGAACTGTGGGCATGGCACAAGCCAAGCCCTTGTCCTCAGAAGCAGCCATGCCATGGCACAGGGGCTGCCAGGGCTCAGGGGTTGAGGGCAGCCCCTGCTGAGGGCTCTGCCCTGGAGCCACAGGGAGGTGGTGTCGGATGCCAGCCTTCACACCAGATCCGTGTCACAGGTGCATGGCACCGTGTGCTACCTTGCTGAGGGCAGGGCTGTGCCCAACCACCCCTTTACTGCTCAGTGCGGGATGCACTGATCCTGCACTGTTCAGTCAGGTCTGATCCTCTCTGCCTTGAGGTTCTGCCCCACACTGGCACCGTGGAAAGAGTGCACTCCAGGAGCAGCTTTGCACTTGTGTCAGCACCGGTCTGGGTGGCAGCTTGGTACCCTTGACCTGCAGCAGATGCATCTGCCTGCCAGGCAGGGCCGCAGTGCTGCCGGGGGTCTGTGGTGCACCAGCAGCTACCTCACTGTTTGGCAGCGGCGGCCGGTGCCCCACGCTGGAACATCCTGCATGCAGCACAGCGCTGCCTGCTCCGATGCCTTCACTCTATGAGTCACAGCATTTGGCCGGTGGTGCCTTGCTGCGCTCGAGATGTCTGCAGCACCGGTCCCGACACTGCCGGGTCGTGGATGCCCCACCCGTGCCCGTTCGGTGCCGGAGGTGCTAGTGGTCGGGTCGGCGTCACCCTCACCCCCACCCCCGCCTACAGCCGGTCCCGCCGTCCCACCCTGTGCCTGCCCAGGGCGTCGCAGCCTGCTCTGGCCCGCCCGAAGGGTCCCATGCCGGGGGTCATCCGCTCCAAGGCCCGGCCCTGCTTATTGGCCCCGGAGCCCTGCTCGTCCCCTGGGGCCCCGGCCCGCTGTTTCCCGGCGCGTCCCGGCGCTTCAGCACCACGGACAGCGGCACCGCGGGCACCGGGGCCGGGCACCGGGAGGGCAGGTGAGGGAGGGAGAGACAGCGGCGGGAAAAGGAGCCGGAGGACCGGGAATGAACACTCTCGGCGGCTCCCGGCCCAGGGCCCTTGCCGGCACCCGCACCGGCTCCTCTGCGCCCCTCCGGGTGGGCTCCAGGATGGGATTAGGGTCGCGGCCCCCGAGAATGGGGAGGCCGCTGGGCCGCACCCCCCCACCTCCTCCCCGTCCCGCAGCCCCTGTCCCGCCTTCCCGGCCCTCGCTGCCGCTGCCGGGCACCCCGCTCCCGCCGCCGCCCCGGTGCCCCTCACGCCCCCCCCCCCCCCCCGCCGGTCAGTGCGTGCCCGGCGATGACGTCAGCCCCAGCTCCCGGTCCTATATAAGCACCGGCCGCACCGCCGGCTCATCTCCCACGGGACGGATCGCTCTCCACTCCACCGGCACCGCACCGGCAGGGCACAGGGACCGCGCACCGGGTACGCGCCAGTGAAGGGTACGGGTCGGCGCACAGGACGAGGGCAGTGGCGGTGCAGAGGACCGGGGAGGGCACAACGCGTAGGGGATGGTGCGGGAGGCAGGGGAAGGGGGCACGGCCTTCGGGACGGCTCCACGGTGAGACCGGTGCCCTCTCGCCGCCGGGTACATTACTCCCCTCGGATCCCCCGGTCCCTGGAGCCGCCCCGGTGCCCCCGGTGCTCCTCGTTACACTGAGCCCCCGGTCCCTCAGGTGTGGACGGAGCCGAAGATGCGGCGGGCGCTGCTCACTCTCCTGCTGTTGCTCGTCCGCCCGCCACCCGCCGCAGCCCGCCCCGACGGCTCCGTCCTGGCGGCCGCGTTCGAGGCTCGGGGCCGCCCGCTCTGGCCGCCGCTGGTGCCGCCAGCCCCGGAGCCGTGGAGGGCGAGGCGGGACGAGCCGCCGCTCTCCATCGACCTCACCTTCCACCTCCTGCGGCATCTCCTACTGCTCGCCCGCGCCCAGAGCCAGCGCGCCCAAGCCGACAGCAACCGCCTCATCCTCGAAGCCGTGGGGCGCTGAGCACGTACCGGGACCCACCGGGATCCCACCGCAGCTGCGCCGGGCTCCGGCCACCGCCTCAGCCTCCGCGCCGTGGGGCACTCAGCGCCACTCACCGGGATTGGTACCGGCACCAGCACTGGCACCGGGACCGACACCAGGCTGCGCCTGCTGCACCCGCCTCCTCCTCGGCACCGGGGCAAGTGGCCACGGTACCGGCCCCGGGACGGCCAGCACCGATTTTGTAATAAAACGTGGTGGAAAGCCGGGGCGTGAATGAGTGCGGGGCCGGGGACACGGGCTTACCTTACCGGAAATGTGCGGTGAACTCGTCGGGAACGGGGACCGGGCTCAGTGGGGCTGGAAGTCTGAGGAAGGTTGAGCAGAGCTGGGTGGGCTGCACAGAGCACTGCGAACACGGCATGTCCCTGGGCAACGGGGACATCCCCCTGGGGGCAGGAACCCCCAGTCGTTGAGGCAAAGAGCTGTGGGTGCAGTGGGAAAGGCACAGAGAGATGGGCGCAGTGGGTGCCTCAGCATCACTGAGCGGAGCAAAGGGGTGCTGCACCCCTCACCTGGAGGCAAGGCAGCTGGGGATGCAAGCTGGGGCAACCAGAGCTCTGTGTTTGGCAATCCCCTGCAGTCACTGCCAGAGCACTGCCACAGTGAGGGATGGCTCGTGGGGCTGGGGAGACCCACACAGGCTCTTGGGGAGTGGGGATGGGGTGGAAGGACACTGTGGCAGGGCATGTTTCAGACCCCTGAGCAAGAGGAGGACATGGATGAAGCCTTCCTGACACAGTTGGAGAGGTTTGGCCACCTCATGGGTGGCCTTGCTCTCCTTGAAGATGTCCCTGCTCATGATGGGGGCAGGTTGGACTAGACCATCTTCAGAGGTTCCTTCAACCCAAACCGTGCTGTGATTTGATGGTTCTGTGATAAGCTCCCTGCTACCTGCAGGAAGGGCAGCGCAGCAGGACTGGAGCAGTGAAGGAGGTTTCAGGAGGGCCCATAGGAAGAGCTGCTTGTGGATGTGATGGTGGCAGCCATAAGGCTGTGGAGATCAGCAGCCAGGGCAGGCAGGAACACAGGCAGCAGTGTGCAGCCTTGGACTTCAAGCAAAACTATTTACGTGACCTGGCTGGTGGGGTCTGGACAGAGGCAGCTCTGAAGGATGAAGGAGCTAAGGAAATCCATTGAGAACAAGCTAAAGAGCGGTCATGGGGTGCCAGAGTGGCTGAGGCTGGAAGGGGGCTAGGGAATCTCTCCCTCCAACCCCCCACCCAGGGCAGGGGCAGCCAGAGCCAGTTGCTCAATGTCGTGTCCATCCAGGCTTTGAATGAGGAAATTCCACCTGGATGTGAGAAATGCGGAACTGGAAGGGGATACTGGCAAGAAAGAGTGTCCTGGAGCAGGTTCCCCAGAGCATCTCCCTCCTTGAAGATACTCGATACTGTGTGATACTCAGAACTGGCCTGGACATGGACCTGGCCAACACACTCCAGCTGACCCAGCCTGAGCACAGGGTGGCGCTGAAGCAGTTTCAGAGGCCCTTTGCCCCCCCAGTGAGGCCATAGGCAGCATCGCAGCTTCTCAGAGCAGCTGCAGGCAGCCTGTTCGATCAGCACCATGGAAAAAACAAAAACAAAAACAAAAAACAAAGTTGCTTTTTGAGGGAGAAACAACGAAACCAAAAGCTTTTAACAAAACTTTCAGTGAAATCTCCTGTGCTCCAGTTTGTGCTCCCTGTCCGTGCTTCCGTCACTGGGCAGCACTGGGCAGGGTCTGACTCCATCTTCCCTGCCTCCCATCACTCTACACATGGATTCCATGCCCCCTGAGCCTTCTCTGCTGCAGGTGGAGGGGTCCCAGCTCCAGCCCATGCAAGAGCTGCCCGAGTCCCTGCAGCGTTGCTGGGCCCCTTCCCTGGGTTCCAGGGGTCACGTGCTCTGAGTCAGAGGGGTGCAAGGCCAAGGAGAGCATCCACCACCTCCACCCTCCCAGGGCAGTGAAGGGCTGCCCAAGAGCCAGGCTGGGGCTGGGGCTGGGGCTGGCAAAAGCAGGTGACAGATAGCTGGAGGCAAGGCTTAAGGAAGAAAACTGCCCAGAACAGAGTATCAGGCTGGGGCTCTCCTGAGGTACCCCAAACCCCAGCAGTGGCGCCCAGGGCTGACCAGTATCTACCAAGGTGCTTGTGAGCCCCTCTTGGCCATCTCTGGAAGGTGATGGGGAGATTCCTGAGGTGCAGAAAGGAAAATATCACATCCCCAATGGAGAAGTCACCCAGCCTCACTTCAGTCCCCAGGGACCATGTGAGCCTTCCTGGGCACATATCTATGATGTGCAGGAGCAGGCAGTGGCCAGGAGCAGCCAGACTGGTCCACAGGGTTGACCACCCAGCCACAAGCTACATGCTTGGGGATGCAGGAGAATGGAGACATCCCATAGCCCAGGGCTGAACCCGTGTGCCTGCCCTGGGACAGGGGTCTGGTGGGTGGCTGGGCAAGCAGCTCAGAGCTGCTTGCTCAGGGCCATTGAGTGCCACAGGGCACCACACCTCAATCCCTCGGTCGGGTTTGCAGGTAACAGAGCTGGGACCGAGCTGGGCTCAAGGAAGGGGCCATCAGGGACCTCGTAAGTACAAAGTCCTGCCCTGGGCAGGCAGAGCCCCCAGCAGCCCTGCAGCTGGAATCCACAGCAGGAGTGAATCCACCATGGACCATGAGGAGGGAGCTGTGCTGGGACATGGGCTGTGGGGACCATGTGGTGCCATGGCCCATGGTGGGCTCAGCTCCAGCACTGCTTCCTCTTGCCCATCTCCCTGTCCAAGCAGGGCTCACACTGGGGGTGACTGAAGCTGCTCTGGATGCCCCAGCCCGTTTCTCTAAGGATTGCTCTGCTCTTGAGAGAAGGAGCTTTTCCTGGTATCCAATGTGAATTTCTTCTATCCCAGCTTGTCACCATCTCCTGTGCTGTCCCTGTGCTTGATGGGGGTATGGATACAGCTCCCAACAGGAGGCAGCTCAGCGGTTTCCTCTCCTATGGCTGCATAACCAGCTCCTGCCCTGCTCTGTCCCCAGCCCAGCTGAATGTCTCTCCCTGTTTGCTCCCGTGGATCCAGACTGGGACAGGAGCCTGCTGGCAGCAGGGGAAGGGTCCTGTCGGCACAACCCAGACACTAGGGCCTCTGCTGCCAGGAGAACCCGGGGCTCCCCAGCTTCCATCCCAGCCCTGAGGTCACTGGGACCTGCCTTGTGCCAACATTTCACTTCTGCTTCCATGGGTCCATCCTTGCCCATCCTGCAGTGTCTGTGCCCCAGTCGCTGGCCAGCTTGGTGGTCCCTGTGCTTGCTGGGTACTGGGGTCTCAGCCACCAGTCCTTGGAGCCCCCTGGCAGGGGCAGGGGGGTGGCCCGGTTTCAGAGCTCCTGCCCATCCCCATCCCCATCCCCATCCCCTCCCCATGTGCATCATCAGGTGCATCAGCTGTGACGCTATGGCCGTGCAGGACAAGGCGGGTGACGCAGCCAGGGCTGCCATGGCCCTCCCTGGGTGCCCAACCGGCGGAGCGTGGGGCACAGGCCCCGGCACCGACCGTGGTGCTCCCGGCTGTGTACTCAGCCAGCTCATCCCAGCACTGTTTGCTTGGTGCACCCAGGGGACAGTGCTGCCCAGACGGTGTCCAGTGTTGGGGCTGCAGAGCTCAAGGGTGATGCAGTTTCTCACCCCCAGGCAGGGGCTGCAGGCACAAGGTTTGAGATGAGAAGCTCCTGGCTGCAATCCACCCCTGGGATGCTGGAGTTGAGCCATGCTGGGGGTCCCTTTGGACACAGACCCTCTTGTGGGTAGTGGAGCTGGGGTGCAACCCAGTGGGGCAGGGTCTGAGCCCAGGCTGGAGCCCATGGAGCTGGTGTGGAACCACCTCGGGGGCAGCCCTGGTGCCCACCCTGGCCACACACAACACCGCAGATGATGCCCTCACACGTTTAATGTTGTAGAGAGGCAGCTCCAGTGCTTGGGAACTGCAGCAGCAGAGCTGAAGGGGCAGGGGTGAGCCGGTGGTGCCGATGCTGCTCCATGGTACCTGTTCAGTGCTGACCTGTGCAGAAAACCAGCCTCAGACCCACATGGTGGGGACCCAGGGGTGCCCATTCTACAGGCAAGGAGACAGGCACTCTGGGGAGCCCTGAGGTATGAACTCCTCTGTCTGCATACCCATCCACTTCTGTCCCCCATGAGGCGCCTCCTCTGCCCCAAGGCACCCCATGACCTGGCCCTGTGTGTCACCCCCACCTCAGTCCCAGTCAGGGTCTCACCATGGGGAGAGCTCACTGGCTTCTGCCTCGGCCCCACGTCTGCAGAAGGAAAGTAGGTGACAAGATTGGAACCAGGGGCCCCGTCACACTGCAGGACCTGCACAGCTGCACACAGGCCGTGGCACAGACACAGCACTGGGCATGTCCCTCCCTCCATGGGCATGGCAGCCCCAGCCCCTTGGCCCTGCTGCCCCGACTGCCCCTGCAGCCCTGGGAGCAAGCACAGCAGCCAGGCACAGCATGGCATGGCATGGCATGGCACATCAGGGACTCACCTTCTGCAGCATCAGGTGCCTCCAGGCTCTCCAGCCGGTCCTCATCTGCTGCAGCCTCACTGCCATCCCCAAGTGCATCTGCCTCATCCTCGCCCAGCGGCTCTGCAACACCAAGGGACAGGTCAGCAGGGCCCCCCCCTCCCCATGGTGTGGGCAGCCTGGAGACACTCCAAGAGGGATGTGCTCAGCCCAGAGCAGGAACCTGGCCCTGGTGTGGGACACAGCAGCCCACAGGCCAGGAAGGGTCCCTTGGCAGTGCAGAGGGGCCCCATGTCCCCATTCCTGTGCAAGAGGGGATGCAGCCACACATAGGGCATAAGGCAGTGGAGGGTTCTGCCCATATGAACACTGCTTGCCCTGGGCAGTCCCATGTCCCCCCCAAACATGGCACCTGTCTGGAACTCGATGGTCCTCAGCATCTCCGCCACATAGTCCACATTGATGGAGAAGTGGTCCATGTTCTCATAGCCGGGCTCTGGGCGGCTGCTCATCGACACCTTGGACATGTCTGTGATCCTGCAGGGCAGGAAGACCCCCGGGAGCTGCCGGGGTCCAACACACAAGGGGTGCTGTGCCCCCAACCATGGCCCAGCAGGGCCAGCCATAGCCAAACCCCCATGCTGCCCTCTGTGCCCCCCACCTTGCCATTGCCCCCAGCCCCATGCCTCCTGGCCCCACTCACTTTTTCAGGAGCTCCTTGGAGTGCTGTGGAGGAAAAGGGGGGGGAGGTGGTCAGTGTCTCCCTGAAACAATGGGACTGGAGCCTCCAGGAGCCAGAGGCCACAGCACCCCCAGCACATCCCAAGGGTAGCCCCAGATCTTCAGATTGACCCAAGTCCCCCCTAGCCCTGGGGCAGTCCCAGACCCCCGGAGGGACCTGCCCCTGCCCAGTTCCCCAGCACAGCCTGGGGGCAGCTTTAGCCCCCTTGGAGGGTCCTGACCCCTGCACCCCCAGACCGTGTCCACACAGACCTGCAGGTACACAGCCATCTGGGGCTCCTCCATGGCCTGGATGGCTGACTCCACCAGCTTGGAGGAGGCCTCCAGGTGGTCTCCGTACTGGCGGATGAGGCCCCGCACGAGCTGCACCTTCGTCTCCTGCTCCCGCGCAATGCTCTGCAGCAGCTCCTTCTTCCGCTCCTCCAGGATGCTGTACAGCGAGTCAAAGCGCAGCCCCAGGTGCTGCTTCTGCCGCCGGCCATTCTCCTGCAGGACCCTGGAGCTTAGGGGCTGCCCTGGCCCTTCCGTGTCCCCACCACCAATGTGGCACCCAGCGACACCCCCCTGTCCTGTCCCACCTCAATGGTGTGGCAGATCTCCTCCATCTGTGTGATGATGGCCTGGATGCGGTCGTTCCCCGCCACTAGCATGGCAATGCCATCGCTGAGCTCGCTCTGGGAGGGTATGGGATGGGTATGAGGACCAGATGAGGGTTAGGGTCCCCCAGTCCTCTGTGGGCCACCAGAGCCACTCACCTTCTGGCGCTGGTAGACAGCAGGCAGCGGTGCCACCTCGCAGTCCTTGTGTGCCCCAAAAACCTTGCAGAGGGAGCAGGTCGGCGCCTCACAACGCAGGCAGTAGATGTTGATCCGCTCGTCCTCATGCTCCTCACACATGAGGTGCTGCTCGGCCTTGGCATGCAGGGGCCTGTGTTGGGGAACAGGCACCACTGCCCATGGTGGGCCCCAGCCCCAGGGACACCTCCATCCCCAGGAACATCACAGCCCTTGAGGACACCCCGACTCCAGGGACATTTCCATATCCAGAGACACCTTCAGCCTCAGGGACACCTCCAGTACCAACACACCCCTGGCCCTGTAGGACACCTTAGCTCCGGGGACACCTCCAGCCCTTGGGGACACCCCAGACAACCGTGGGCTCTGTCACTCCCATGCCCCAGACGTGCTCCCAGCCCCAGCCTTTTGCCCGCAGCCCCCCTGGGCTCCCCTTCACGCACGGGACCCTCTCCCCCGTGGGGTGCCCCGCGGGCTCCTCGCACCTGGCCGACTCCTGCTTGTAGATGTCGATGATGTTCTCCACCAGCAGGTTCCGCTGCAGCCCGTACACCCCGTGCCGGTCCAGCACCACCTCGTGGCGGCACGACGGGCATCGGAACCGGCCGCCCGACGGCACCGCGCTGGAGCCCCGCGACTGCCACAGTGGGTTAGAGGCCTAGGGAGGGCATAGCGGGGGTTGGTCACGGCCACGAACCTCCCGTAGCCCCCGTTAACCGATACCCCCCCACGCTTTGCCGCTGGCTGTGGGTGCCGCACCCCCGCGAGCACGGATGCAAACACGAGCAAGGACACGGACACGGGCACGAGCAAGGACACGGGCACGAGCAAGGACACGGCCCCGCGCACCGACGCTATCCGGCCGCCCCCACCAGGGCTCCCGGGGGCTCGTCCCGGGACCGGGCTCGGATCCATCCTCCCCTTCTCCCCCGGTTTCCAACCCCGACCGCACCTGGAAGACGTCGTTGGCGCACTTGCGGCAGAGGTTGTGCTGGCAGGGCAGGATCACCACGGGCTTGGTGAACATCTCCAGGCAGATGGGACAGATAAGCTGCTTCTCCAGGCTCTCCATGTTCCGCGCCTCCGCCAGCAGCGGCTTCAGCCCCACCGCGAAGTTCATCGCCACGGTCCCGGCCCGGCCCGATCCCGTTCTGCCGACCACTGTCCCGCTCCCGCTCCGGCTCCCGCTCCGGCTCCGGCCTCGTCCGCCCGGTGTCTGCTCCGCTCCGCTCCAGCCCCAGCCCCGGCCCCGCTAAGCCCAGTGCTAATTTTAGCCTTCCAGCCCCGCCGGGGCCGCGGCAGCTGTCGGCGGCGTCGGGTGACACTGAGTCACGGCGCCGCGGCAGGCCCCCACCGGCGCCCCCGGCCCGGCTCACCCCGGGCACCAGCTGACCCCCCCACCGGGACCAGCTTACAGCAGTCAGCGGCTGATCCCAGGCACCGGCTGATCCCGGGCACCGGCTGATCCCATGGGGACCTGCTGGCTCTGCAGACTGGCAGCTCAGGCGGGGCTAGGAGGAGGCTGGGGTCCCGGTCCCTAGAACCCCGCGGCTCCATCCAGTGCCAGCCCCACCACCAGCAGAATGGCCGGGCGCCTAGAAGAGCTGGTGCCAGGAACAGCCCGGTCCAGGCACTCGCCCTGACACTCCAGCTATATTTAGGGGGTGAGACAGAGCCCATGCAGCTGCGGGCAGAGGCTGTGTCCCCTTGCCCCTCTCCTCCTGGGATGGCACAGTCCACCCCTGGCCCTCAGCAGAGCCACAGCTCCCAGGAGAGCAGGGCAGAAGCCAAGCAGTCCTGCTCGGAACAGCTATCTCCCACCATGAGGCAGGCAGCCAGGGACTGCATGAGCAGGGACAGTCCGCACACATGCCCCAGTGTGGGACAAGGGTGACCGGCCAGGCTCCTGCCACCCCATGCCCCACAGCAGTGAGGAGTGGGGAAGCACAGGCCCCACAGGGCCGACACTAGCTGGGAGACACAGCTGTCCCAGAAAGATGACCGAAAACAGAGTGATGTCCACCCCTGTGAGAAAGCACCCCCTCAAGCTGCTCTTGGGACATGACCTGCCCACTCCCCCCACTGCTTAGCCCATCACTCCTGTGGGACTTACAGCCATAACCTCCTCCCAATCAATACAGGGCCAGGTAGAGGCACATTCTGCTGCAGAGCGTTCAGGCAGCCCCTGATGAAACAGAGACCACTCAGAAACACACTCCCCTCCTGTCATACTTTAATGGTGCATAAAACCTATACAAACCCAAGGAAAGTGCCTGATCGGGGCCCAGCCCTGCAGGGAGCCTGCCAGCAGCAGTGAGCATGGGGTGCAGCCAGTGCCCCGGAGCTGTGGCAGGGCAGAGGAAGGGGGCACAGAAGGCAGCACCCTAACCCCATGAGCAGCGTTTGGCACCCAGCACCCATCAGGAGGGTCCCTGTGAGGGCAGGTGGGGGGCTCAGCCCAGGCCCAGACATTACAGTGCTAACGGTCTCAGACGTGCCCGGCTGTGGAGCCTGGCCTGGAGAAGCCTCCACTCGCAGCTGCTTGGACTAGCAGCCAGCGAGGCACTGGGGATGGGCTCCAGGCCACCTCCACCACCAGTGCTGGGAGACAGGGGCATCGCCCTGGAGCTCAAGCAGGGGCAGAAGAGCCTCTGCATTGATGCTGGCCAAATTAACCTGAGATTCTAACCACCCTAAGGCCGGAGAGCCACGCCGGGTGGCATGACCGAGGTCCTGGAAAGTGACAGTCCCAAAGGAGGATCTCTTCCCAGAGTCCTGGGGAGCCAGCAGAACCGAGGGCAGCCTCAGGCACTGGTGCTGACAGCTGGCAAGGGCTCCACACTGGCAGGTGGGGGCTGCATCACAACAGGTATCTGTGAAGCTGGAAAAGAAGAGTGGCCCAATCAGCGACTCAGCCCCATCCCATGGTGGTGCTGAGCAGGTATCTGTGATGTCCCAACACCCCCGTGAAGGCTCCCATCGATCAAGACTCCCAAACTCCAGCCCCCCTGTGGCAGTGCTCCCACCCCACAGAAAACAGCACAAGCTCCCCAGTGGCAGTCCTCACAGACACTGATGTAGCCAGTGCCCAGGGAAGGAAACCAGCATGAAGTATGGCTGCTCCTCACGCTCCATGCCTCAGGCCCAAGTGCTTCTCAGCCACAGACAGTGCAGGGGCTTAATGGGGTCCTGTCCCAGGGGCAACTGAGGGAGGACAAGGCACCCATAACCTGTGCAGTGGTTCTATCACTGTCACCAGTCAGGATCCAGACAAGAAACACCAAGGGCTGGCTGTTACACAAGAGCTGCAGCTACATCTGAGCCTCAAGAGCAATGTCCCCACATGAGATGAAGTGGGGGGAGCTCCCCCGGAGCCCTGCACAAGACAAAGCCAGGTGGGGCTTGCAACAGCCACAAAAACCCAACTCACCCCTGTCCTCTGCATGCATCTGCGCCTCCAGGTCCTTGGGGTCGACGTACTTGTAGGACTCGTCTTCCTTCGGCGGGCTGCACGCCCCGCAGCAGAAGAAGCAGCAACAGCAGCAGCAGCAGCAGGTGAGAGCTCCGCAGCACAGAGCCAGAGCCTGCAGAGGAAGGGACGGCAGCCCCATGAGAGCACCAGAGCCACAGCAGCAGCCAGGCCCCACCAGGGCAGCGCAGGCCGTGCAGGGCTCAGCTCACCTGGAACCACCACTTGGACATGAGGAAGTAGTGCTTGACAGCATCGTCGCCGAACTGCTCGGCCACGTAGAGCCCCAGGGAGCCGTACTGGTCGTAGAGGCGGCGCTTGTCCTCGTCGCTCAGCGTGGCGTGCGCGCTGTTGATCTCCTTGAAGCGCTCGGCCGCCGCCGGGTCATCGGGGTTTTTGTCTGGGTGGTATTTGAGCGCCAGCCTCCTGCGGGGGGGGGGGATACGGTTGGGACGGGCACAGGGACCCGACACCCCCTCTCCCACCACCGGCCCGGGTCCCCGCACCGCTCCCCCCCCCCCGGCGTACCGGTAGGCCTTCTTGATCTCCTCGGGGGAGCTGCCCTTCTGCAGGCCCAGGACGCGGTACAGGCTCTCCCCGACCCGGGACAGCTTCCGCTGCGGCCGCCCGGGCTCCGCCATGGCTCCGGCGCCCCGCGGCGGGGCCGGAGGGACAGAGGGCACGGAGGTGACGGAGGCACCAACCGGCCCTGCCGTGACCCGCGCCCGCCGCCGCTTCCGCCCACAACCGCCCTCCTCTGCGCAGGCGCTGCCCCAGTGCCGGACCCGCCCCCGGCCTCCCCGCGGGGCACTGGGCGGCCGCAGCGCGCCCCGGCGGACGGGTGGAGCCGTCGTGACACACGTACCGGCACTACACACGGTGCCACTACACGGTTGGAGCCGTCGTTACACACGTACCGGCACTACACACGGTGCCACTACACGGTTGGAGCCGTCGTTACACACGTACCGGCACTACACACGGTGCCACTACACGGTTGGAGCCGTCGTTACACACGTACCGGCACTACACACGGTGCCACTACACGGTTGGAGCCGTCGTTACACACGTACCGGCACTACACACGGTGCCACTACACGGTTGGAGCCGTCGTTACACACGTACCGGCACTACACACGGTGCCACTACACGGTTGGAGCCGTCGTTACACACACGTACCGGCACTACACACGGTGCCACTACACGGTTGGAGCCGTCGTTACACACGTACCGGCACTACACACGGTGCCACTACACGGTTGGAGCCGTCGTGACACACGTACCGGCACTACACACGGTGCCACTACACGGTTGGAGCCGTCGTTACACACGTACCGGCACTACACACGGTGCCACCCCCACTGAGCCCCCCGCACACGGTAACACCCACCTCACACACACATCTCCTGTACATGCGGACAGTCTCCATCATCCACACACACACACACACACACACCTAACCTACAGCCCCCACACGGTGACACCCCCATCACACACACCCACCCCTTCATATACAGTAAGTCCTCTATCAAACACACCCCCTGCACACGACCCCAGTCACACACATCCCCACTGCAGACACACACCCCCACGATACCCCTCTCACACAGCCCTATGCAATGACATCCCAATCACACACACCCCTGCACTAAAACACCTCCATCATACACCCCCCCCCAGAGACAACACCCCCATCACACCTATACACAGTGACACCCTTGGCATACAGCATGGTGACATGCCACCTTTGGTAGCAACCCCCACCCACCCTGTCCCCATGTGCCCAGCCCCAGCACAGGCGGGAGGTGGCAGCCTGGGGTGAGGGGGTTGCGCTGCTCCTTTATTGGGGTACAAAATGAAGGCAGCCGGGGCAGCGGGGGGGAGAGGTGGGGTGCAGCAGAGCCAGCAAAGTGGGGACAGGGGCCAGGCCCCGCAGCCCCAGGCCCTGCTCTCTTCCCGCTGCCTCAGAGGGCAAGGGAAGGCCACTGCCACCAGCTTGAAGAAGAACCTGAGCAACAAGGGTGGCAGCAGCAGCTGGGGAGACCATGGCCAGGGCTGGGGAGATCACGGCCCCGCAGCCAAGCAGGCCCCCCGGGATGGAGTGTCAGAGCGGTGGGGACAAGGGGGTTCCTTGGTTCCCAATCCCTGATGGTTTTCAAGTAGCTGGCCTGCCCCCAGGAGACCAGGTGGGGCAGCTGCTCAAATAAATACAAATAAATACAGATTCCAGCATGGGAGCTTGCCCAGTGCCCAGGGAAGAGGGTGACCGGCCCCTCAGGCACAAGCTGCAGGCAGACCATGCCTCCCTCCTGCCAGCATGGCCGGTCTGGGGCACAGAGGCAGGAGCCGGAGGTGAGGAACACCCCGATGCCATCCCTCCCTCCTCGGAGGGTTGCCTCGGACCCCCAAGGGGCTACTCCTGCAGGTGGAAGGGGGGCAGGCAGCAAGGGCTCGGCCTGCAGGCAAGAGAGCTGGGGGCTGCGGGTGGGGGTCACAGGCTGGCAGCTCAGAGCCCCTCCTGGGGGCTGTAGCCAGCCTGCCTGGTGGCCCCATGGCCAGCCAGCTCAGCAGTCCATGCCGTCACTCTCACACCAGGCAGAGGGTCCATCGGTGCCAAAGTATCGGTCCCCAAAGTTACCTGGAGGATGAGGGGACAGAATGAGGGGGTGGCAGCACCAGCCCCATTGCAGTCCCCTCCCCAGGGCTTCTTCAGTGCAGCCTCAAATCCCCAGCCAGGCAGCTGGTGTGAGAGCCCACAGCCTAGCCCACCCTCTTCTGTCCTCACCGATGCCAGGGATGATGTGGAACTCCTCATTGATCCTCTTGTCCACAGCAGTGGTGATGATGTGGACACGGGGAAAGGCATAGGCCACAGAGTGCACCCCCATCTCCGCCATCAGCAGTGACAGCAGGAAGATCCTGTCCTCCTGCACATCATGATCCTGCAGCACATGGAGCCGTGAAACCCAGCCGACCTATCAGTCCCACCCCATGCTCTGATGCCCCCTCCGCTCACCAGCAGGACGCGCACTGCCATCATGGCCGCGGCCCCCGTGGACACGGTGCTGTCCATGAGGATGACGTAGTCCTCGCTGATCTCCTTGGGAAGGCGCAGGTAGTGGAGCTGTGAAGGGAAGAAGCGGTCACACACCCACCGCACAGTGGCAGGGGGTCTGTGCTGGAGCATCGGCGCTGCTCACCTCGGGCTCCCCTGTGTCATGGTTGGTTTGAATGAGGATCTTGCCCAGGCGGATGTCCTTGCACACAGCAGTAAGGGCTTGCTCCATGGTCTCCCCTGCTCGCAGGATGGACACACCAGTGATCTGGGGAAGGGGTAAGAACACATTTGCCTGGCACTGTGCAGGGGAAGCAGCTGCTCTGGTGAGCTCCTGCGGCTTTGGCGCTGCGGAAGAGGGAAGCAGCCCATCTGCATCCTGGAGCCACCAGGTTTTCCCAGTCCATGCTAACCCAAGATGGGGCAGCCATGTGCTCATGGGGAGAAAGAGACTGGGACAGTGTCTCACCCTCTGTCTGTGGAACCGCTTCCCTTCATACGTGGTCCCCTGGGGCGTCTCCACAGTGACCGACTACAGAAACAGAGAAGAAGGGAGTATAGAGAAAGCTGGGCCCTGCATGGCCCAGGGGCTCAGGAGGGGCTGATGTGGCCCAGGAGCTCACCTTCAGTGGCAGGAAGGAGAGGGCATGTTCAATCAACAGCCGCATCAGGCGCTTGGAGTAGAAGATGAATTCGTCCCTGGTTGTGTCCTTGTTCCTGTTGAAGGAAGGTGCCTGCGTGAGATGAGAGCAGAGCCCGTGCTCCACCACATGACAAACAGGGCTCTAGAGGGAGGACGGCACAGAGAGCAGCCAGTGGGAACCTGGGAGCTCTCAGGAAGGAGATACAGCAATTACCAATGTTTCTGGGCTTGCCAAAGACCCATGGTGGTGTCTAGGAAGGACTATACAGTCAGAAACTGTGTTCAGTTCCCCTGGAAGGGGGATATAAAGCACGCAGCTAATCACGCAGATCGGATGAAGTGCAAGGATGCCACATGGTGCTGCTCAATCCTCTTTGGGACATGGCGGACAGCTCAGAGCTGACTCTGCATGGCAGGCTAGCTGGACTAGCAAACGGAATGAAACCAGCAGCAAAAAGGAGGGATAAGTGAGCATAACATCAGCAGCCTGGTGTAGGTGTGTGCCCTGACCTGAGCAGAGATGAGGCAGGTGCCTGAGAGGCAAGCACAGAGGCACAGCATTACTTGCTCTGAGCATGACCTCTAATTGCTGCTGAATCTCTGCTGGAGGATTTGCAGGGCTGGACATTTAGGACATAACTGCTGACTATGTGGAAAGAGCCAGGAGAAAAACCGGGGGCGACAGCAGCACAATGTCAGGCAGCACCTGAGGCAACAGAGACTCAGGAACAAGCAGCAAGGGTTTTGCACGGGCCCTGCAAGGGGAGCACAAGGCAGGACAAAAGCCCCTCCAGGACAGACCGCAGCACAGCTGGCTCCAGAACACCTCTGCACAGAAGCAGCACAGCCAAGAGCAGCTGGGTTAGCTGACACCAGTGACGGGAAAACACCTGATGTGTTCTCAACTCCTCTCCGTTTCTGTGCCAAGTTAGAGATAAACTACTGCCAGGAACCAGGCAGATTCTGGAATACCTGGCATTATCTCATCACAACCCTTCAGTGCTGAGGGCAGCAAGGAATACGATAAATAAAAAGCAGTAAAACCACAATGGGGCTGTAATTAAGAGGAAACCTCCCCTTCGCCTTCAGGAGGAGTAAAGGAACTCTATGTGCCCATACAATAATCCCAGTGCTGGGCAGAGGGGGGATGAGGCTGGCTTTTCCCGTGGGCAGCATTTTGACCATCAGCACATGTATGTGCTGCAGCTGAACTTGTTCACCACATAGAAGAAAACACTGCACAAAACTTTGCATTTCCTGCAACACACGGATCTCAAAGCACAGGAACACAAGGGTGTAGGTGTACAGAGCTCCATTTAATGACAGGCAGGACTGTCTCTGCGTGTGTTACTCGGGATAGTTCCAGATGAATGGAACAGCTCCTCCACCAGCACCGTCAGGGTCAAGTGCTTGAAGGCAAAGTACCAAGAGGTCACTCAGCAGGAAAGGAGCAGAATCTGGGATCTGCTTGTTGGTTGACATGTGACCATAAAGACCCCACCGACATCCATCTAAACCTCTCCCAGTCTGTGGCTGCTTTGGGAAAAGAGCCAGTAGCAGGCTGTAACGTAAGGACCATTTTAGTGAAGAGCTCTGAGAACAAGCTTCTGGCTCCCTGGCTGAACAAGGAGCAAGGGCACACTGACACCGAAGGACTGTCTTTAAGAAGACACAGCTGAAACCTGTTTTCTCTTCTGTGACCTGTGCCTAAAGCAGTGCAGCCTGCACATACCCCTGGTACATTCTGGAGGATGTAAGGAACAAAGAAACCCTTCAGACATTTGCCAGTTTCCAGATGGAAGAGGTGGATCTGGCATCAGTCCAGAAGCAGCAGAAGGATATTGAATATTTTTACTCTGTATTTTAAGACATCATCTGCCACTTCTCACATCTCTCCCCAATGACAGACAGCCCAGCCAACAGAGCTCAGAAGGATAAACAGTCACAACTATCCAGATACTTCTGCAGCTACCTGGGTAACTCTCTCCCGAGAGCTCTGCAATGATCAGAAAACCCAATGTGGACATTCCCAACAAGCCTGGGGACAGCGAGGCACTCCTAGAGAAGTTG